GAAGGTGAATGGTAATCGAAAAGTCGTGACATGAAGCAACATCTACAAAAGCTCACTTTTTTAATATTATTATTATTATTAATTCTTCTCGACGTTGTTGTATATCAATGTTGAATTAGGGTTACTGCATCAGACAGAATGTTTGACATACACCCGATACAGTATTTTACTTTTGTTATTACAAGTCAATAACATTTCCTTTTATAGCACTTAAATCAAAAAGTAGAATAAGCCATAGTCCTTGAAATAATAATGATTTGTAAATAAACACAAAAATTTCCATCGATATAAGTCATGCATAACATCAGAATTTTAATAAAACAGCAGTCTAAATAAAATGTTCAATACCATACATGAATATGGTTGTAATCCTGTAACGCTTTCTATCTCTTCTAAGTTTCAAAATAATGGTTTATGGCCCATGGACAGCTTCCTAACATGAAAAAAATCCGAAGTCTCTGGCGGGATTCGAACCCTACAGCAATGATGGGCAAATGGTTTTAAGTTAGACTTTAGAACTCGGCAACGGAAGCCCTTAATTTTAAACTACTGAAAAAAACAACAACAAAAAAGAAAACGAAAACAAAATATAAATAAATATACATGTAATTATATTTGCCTTGTGTCGACAGAACCTCACAAAAAGGATCATTTTAAAGTTATAGAAAAATGAAGGCATTTGAAACTGTTTTCCAGTGATTACATTTGGAATTCGATATGCGCAAAAATATATAACTGAAATTATGTTTATATCTCAATATAACATGAATTACACTATGCTGGTATAATCAGCTAATCATTGCCCATAAAAAATCTGATTATTTCTTTGCTACAGAAATAAATATATGCTACATTATTCTGCAAATACAATATACATGTAACCAAATTATAATGTAAGCAGTAGTAGCAATATTGCAGTTAATGATAAATAGAAATATATAAACAATATTCAAGAAATGTCAATTGATTTGATAATAGCAAACGTAACTTTGTAACAACCATTTTTATTTATGGAAAAAAGTTGCCGTTATCATCATTACAAGTGTCTATTTCCATGGTAATAAAAACATTTTGATATCAAACAGCTTTTATGGGTCAAATATTAGACATATTAGACAATGCAACGAATGAAGTGTCAAAATTGACTTTATTTATTGAGTAATTTATGGTCCCATAAGTCGCTGGGATAATGAATGCATTTAAAGCGGACAAATAAAAAGAACGTAATAAAGATAAATCAACATTAACCTAGTAATCTTTCCAACACATTCCAAACAACTTGTTACAGATACTGACATATGCTTGTAGTTTCTAAATGGACATCATGGTGATAATAGTAAAAACTTTCCTTATTTTATTGTGAATATTCACAGAAGCAATTATCATACTGTGATGGAAACATTACTTAAACCTAATGCTAATGATTGGAAAGTAATGAATATACAGACGATGTAAGGGATAATAAAGTTTTGCACAAAACATTTATTTCGTAATATAGCACCCTTATTTGTTTTTCGAAGCTATAATAATATTTTGTTTAAAATAAAGTCACGATTAACTCATTACACTTATTCACATCAAAATGTCGACGGCGACAGAAATATGCTACTTTGAATTTTATTTTATTTTCATTATATATTTTTTTTACATTTTTATATCTAAACACTGGTCAACTATGACACGGTAAAAATACGGTACAAACGGAAATATGTTATATAGAAATATCTTCACTAATGGCAATAGTATCTCATAGCTGGACGGAGTAGTACTTTTAAACAATTAACACTTTGTATAATAACAGTTTTACCATACATACATTAATGAGAAAAAGGAAGAAGAAGAAATCAACGATATTACTTTTAAAAATAATCAAAATGTTGAAGTTGTGATGCCGTGCAGTGTCATTTGTTGTAAATTTGTTCCATGAAAGTCTGCCTATTTTTTTTTGTTTAAAGCAAAGATGCATATAATGTTAACACATCTTATTTAGTAACATGTTTTTTTTCAAAATATTAAAAAAGCTACTTTTCTTTTTCTAAGAAATTGGACAGACTCAAGCGATATATTATGTTTTGCTCTGTACTATTTGAATTGTTGGTAGATATTCCAGCAGAGTTTCTGATATACGTTATGTCTAAACAGCGAACTCTCTTATATTGACTATAGAACATTTCCAATATCTTGTTTCTCTATAGATAACAAAAGCCTTTCCCGTGAACTTTGATGACAGAAGAGATCTATCTTTTATACTGATCTTTCCTTTAATGAAACAGAATATTTACATAGATAGTGGTACTGAATGTTGTTCATCACAAATATCATATATATATTGGAATGCATGTATAAATTACCGATGAAAATATAGGAAGAGCATAAGAGAATGGCTTTTTGATAACACTATTCCAGCACTATGTAAACCGGAAATTGGTTATGCAACTAATTTTAGATTTCGAAAAACAAATAAATAAATCAAAATTGTTGATATATCAAACAATATGTATGGAGAAAGGAATAATTATTACTTTTATAGAAGAAGTATCATGGATATCTAACAAAAGTAAAGAATTATATAAAAAATGAACAAGTCAAACGAAAATATGTATAGTACAACGGAAGGAAGAATTATAGTGAATGACGGATTTACAATGAATAATTTCAGTTCTACGGATAACACAACATATGATTCGATAAATGAAACGTTCGATTCAAATTTGTTATGGAAACACGTTATAGATGATTTTAAACAAACACAATTTACTCTTAATGAACCTATTTCAATAGTACTTATGGTGTTATATGTGCCTATATTCTTAACGTCGTTGATAGGGAACGTTATCGTTTTGCTAGTGATTGTTCCAAACCAAAGAATGTGGACAGTGACCAACAATTTCCTTGTTAATTTAGCAGTCGCGGACCTTCTAGGTAAAACAAGCCATGGTTTTCTAAATTAGTTTAAAGCAATATTCTATGTTAACCGCATAATTCGTATGTTAAAGACGTATTAACCACAATAACATTTTTTTTTCATAATAAAATTGAAATGAATTTAACAAAATGAAAACTTTTATAGCAATATTTAATTAAATAAGTCGTAATATTTAAAAAATATATGACGACAGTGATAATAATAATACTTATAATACAAATACTAAAACAAAATTATAATTATTTGTTATATTCTAATAAGTAACATTATCAAAATGTTTCATTAACTAAATTCCTGATGAACTCATAATACTTACATTCATTCTTGAAAGCTACCTACTGACCTCAAAACAAGCTTAAGTATTGTTATATTTTTCTGGTTCTTTGGGATCATTGATACCAGCACTATTTAGTTCAACCCGGTGCTAGGGGGCGTGCGTGATGTTGCAATTATTAATTATCCCTCATGTACAGACTCAATCAAACCGAGTCTGCAATTTTCATGTAATATTGTTGTGATAAATGCTTCCGAGGGAGCTCTTTGCTTCCAGATTTAGTATGCATATTGAATAATCATAATAACCTTAAAACCTTACCAGTAATCAGTTACTCGACATTTTAATTAATAGTTATCAGAAATATATTTAAATTTGTTTGTAGTCTTAAAAATATACATCATCGGTAGGAAAAGTTGCTCAACATACTAGTTTTAATGTATTTGACCTCCTTTTAATATAAAGCTGATGTATTCGTTTGGGGGATATGGTGTTTATTCTTTTGTTTGAACATTTTTTGTGTCATTAAATTTCTCTACGCCGCTTTCGATCGCCTCACCTTTATTAACCTTCTTCCTAGAAATACAGTACCCTAACATAGGTATAGAAATTGACGTTAATTTTCACAATGACATTTCCTGTTCAAAGGGATGATATCAATATCTATCAATTAAATGTGATTGATTACACCTTTTCACAATGTGTAGATCCATCTCATTCATGCAGATATGTCTAGTCTTCGTTTGAAAGAAAAGTTATTTGTTACGCAAATTTGGCCAAGCTTGATGGAAAAGCATCTTCCGCATTGATCTGACTTTCAAATATTGACAACTTGTTTGTATTTTCGCTAAAGTTAATCCCAGATCAGACAAAGAATATTTTAAATAGAATATAGCAAGTAAAACCGAGAGTGTTTTCTATATATAGTTCAATATAAAATTGACTTTTGTTTAACTTTTCTTAAATTCCCTTCTGTCTTAAGATTATCTTGGTGAACAGTATTAAATTATACAATTTATGTAAGCAATTTAACAAAGAAAGCTTCCAAGATGAATCAAGATATAATAAGTTAGTTTGTTGATTTGCTAATGAGGCATGTTCATATCTTTATAAACATAAAATGAGAAATTTGTGTTAATATTAAGTTCTAATTATTTATTTATGGTAATATACTTATAATAGGCGCTATAACTTTGTACATGAAAATTAAGAAATAACAATATAATTGAGTGTATCTAAATCCTTAAAGGACACCTGTATGAAAACAATACAAAACATTTACCATGCGGTTTTTGGACTCTTTTTCAGAAATAAGGAAATTGTAAATGATCTGTAATATCATTCTAACGAAAATTGTTATCCTATTGATTTCTGTTAGTAGAATAATAGCCTTCAGCTAACAAACATCACAAGCAAATGCATTGTTTTTTATAAACAAAAAATCAGATATGTTTAAAATAATTTCCTAGTAAGGTTTAAATCCGTGGATCTTCGTTTCAATGAAATTTATTGACAGTAGCTCTTGCCTTAAATATAAGCAGTATACTAATACTAATCTAAACATCTATGAAAAGTGTATAAATAATTTAATCTTTCATTAACTTTGTTTACATATACATTTTAGTCATACTTTCTATCTAATGTTTTTGCAAACCTACAAAGTCAAATATCCGATGTTTGTACTGTTTGAAAAATATATAATGGATTATTGGACATTTCTGATGCGCATTATTAAAGATATCATGAATGGTGATAAAACTATACAAATAACAGTTTAATGTTTTTATTTTGTTTTTACAGTAACAGTACTGTGTATGCCTATGACGTTAGCGAGAAGAGTGTACAAGCTGTGGATTTATGGAGATGTTTTGTGCAAAATGACACCATACTTACAAGGTTATATTTTTAGGAATATACAATTAATCATGTTAATTATTTGTTACGTTCTTTGTAAAACAGTATTTGAACTGGTTTTTAACAACATAAATGAACTTCGATTTTAGAGCCTTTTCCTAGATATTCTAATTTTTGCGATTGACAAAGGGAAAATAATATATTTTATATTTATAAATCTTATAGTATAAATTCAAATACATGTATGATTATTTCAAATATCGTCAAATACATTGATATAAATGATATGAATACATTTTATCAATATACTTTATTAATTGCAGGTGTAGCAGTAACTTCCAGCACATTTACAATTACGGCGATGAGTCTGGACAGATGCTTAGCTATATTACATCCTGTTAAATTCCGTAACCTTCGGACTAAACGCAATGTTCGGACATTAATAGCAATTATCTGGTTAACCTCTATACTACTTATGATACCACTGTTAATAGTGAACAAGACAAAATCACAGGAAATATTTACCAATTTTATAGTAACAACATGTGCTGAAGATTGGCAGGATGTTGTTCAACGCAGAGCATATGATTTCAGTTTATTATTCATCATTTGTTTAATTCCGGCTCAAATAGTATTCGTTTCGTACATGCTAATGGGAAAGCGCCTTTGGGTTACCGACTCGAGATTAGATGCTAATAGTGAAAGTCGAAAGGGAAAGGGCAATAGCAGATTTTCTGACAAAGGATCTTTCAATCAAATAAGAGCATGTCGAAGACGGACGGCAAAAATGTGTATTGTTGTATCAATTATATTCGTTGTTTGTTGGTTACCTTATTTTACCGCCAACATATATCTTGATTTCAAGAAGGATCATGATGCTCTTGACGTTGTTTATTGGGGAAGCCTCCTGATAGGACATTTACACTGTGTTACAAATCCAATTCTTTACTGCTTCATGCATAAAACATTCAGATACTGTGTTAAAAGAATGATGCCTTGCTGGAAGAACGCGTTGATAAGAACTCCCTCCGGATATGGAACAGTAAGTATTGTACGGTTATTTTAAAATTAAAACACAAATGCGTATTATCATTTTTACTCTTAAAATAATTACTTCTTTGTATCACATTTATACAAATGTTATTAAGGTTTGAATATTGTGCGCACTGCTTTAAAGTTTTCAGATCCTTCAATATTTATTTTGTAAAAATAAGTATTTGTTTTGTTAGAATTTTAATTTTTGCTTTAAAGAAAAAGCAAATATTCATAAAGAAATCTATATTTTCAATCATATACAATCAATAGTACGACATTATCATTTCAATTTTATTAAACAAAACATTTAATTCAAATTAAAGGTTGATATCACAAGCGCGAGTTCTTACAAAAACTTTTCCTGTTTTCTAGAATGGTTACCAGGGAAGCAGAATGAGTTATCGTATGACAAATAGAAGGTCAACGAGGAACCAAAGTTATGGATCTAATTGCGACAATAAAAAGCATACCAGCTTAAAACCAACTTCGAGCAACGGCTCAAATACATCAGCAGTAAACAATGAAAATGGTGACGAAAATGGTCACATTGTCGTTGATTATTCAGACAAAGGAAATAATTTCAACTCAAAGAAAGTTAGACTTATTTTTAAACGGCTTCGCCGGAAAAACCTATGCAATGAGTGTAACAATGATAATTATAAAAATAACAGGATAGAGGTTCCTGATCCTATTTCTGAGGAGACCAAAAGTCATTATGCATCATCCACTATTGAAAATGAATAAATAATAAAATCAGTAAACGGAGTTCTTTTTAATAAACAGAATATTTAATTTTTATTTTGAAAAATAGTACACGAGCCAAAACTATTCAAATATTCAACCAGATAAGTAGAAAATAGTACACACATATAACATAACTAATGCTTCGTATCATAATGGACGTACATTTGTCGTCGAAAAATACAAGCAAAGGGAGGCTTGTAGTATTTCTATCTCATGGCAACGAGAAAATAAAAAAAAAGTAAATAAAAACAACAACAAAATGGCTATTGGTATTCCCGAGATAAGTAAAAGAAAAAAAATGAAAGAAAACAAATTATCTATTGTAATATATATTTTTTAATTACGCCACTTGGCAGTTCTTGTTCACTTCATTTTGCAATAAACATAAGAAATACACTCCTCAATCCCCTATAAAACAATTTGATATTTAATTTAATTAAAATCTATAAGCTTGTGATAGTCTGCTTACAGATATAGAATAAATTTAAATCATCAGTACTTAAGGCTTTTTTTTCAAAAAGAAAATAAACAACCCATAGATCCATACATTGGGTGCGTTCAAAGTAAGTCCATTGGTTTATTAATGAACGGCAAAACAATGATACTAATATTTACGGACGAATTTTGCCGTTGGTAGATTAATTTGCAAACAGACTAGTGTTTTAGTAGTGTTGACAAGTGTTTCATGTAATTTTGTTGTGATTAATGCTTCCGACGGATCACTTTGTTTTACAACGTCCTACAAATTGGCGATCTTGATCTGATTTTTATTGTTGTATGAAACGTAATTGATCATGTTATGATGAAGTAATATTGCACATTAAAAATGTAAAAAGTACAGATTTGGAAAGAAACAAATTAAATTTGAGGTAAACTTATTTATAACAACACACACACAAAAAGCGGACCAAAATAAGAATCACATTTATGTTCAAGATCAGTCGGCTGAGGTGCCATTGGTACTATTGGTTGACCTTTGGTTCCAATATTTATCATGTCAAATTACCCAAATAGTATGATTAATTCCGTTCAGAGTAAATTGCCAACGAGTGGAACCAATAGTCATAAATGTTGACAATGGTATTTTAATATTGGTACCACTGGAAATACTTTGAACGCATGTATTGATTTGATACTTTTTGCAAGAAAGCTATACTGGAAGTGTTTGAAATTGCGTGCTCTTTCTCTTTTGCGACGTATCATTTAAAATCTCCCCACTCTTAAAGCATGTATTTATGACTTCGTCTTCTTAATAGCTACTATCGTAAATGTACCACTATGATATTGGCTTTATAATAAATTTTTGATAAGTGTACATATTTATTCGTGCATATTGTTTTTCTTCGTAAGTAAATGCTCATGCATACAATATACATGTATACTGAAATATATAAATGAGAATATATCTTAATTGACAGTTCTTGAATGCAGAAAAAACTCACGCATATTATTTGAATCCTACTCAAAAACCCTTTCCATGCAAATAATCGCCAACGCGAACATATTTGCATGGTTTATACAGAACCTTAGTTGTAATGAATAACTTATGCTAGGAACTTTTCTCATGCAATAAGCTTAATGAAAAGAGAAATGTAGAGGAATTTTTTGTATAATATTTACCGAAAAAGACGTATCTTAAATGAAAGTGTACATATTTGATGTTTCTATTTTGGCAAATAGTTGCTGGGCTTATGAAAATAATACTTCAGCTTAAGATCGTGAAGAACAAGGAGTCGTGAATCAGTCAAGAACTGGTGTAGAACAACAGTAAGTCCGACCAAACAATCAAAATGTTTGTCCTACTAAACAATCAGCATGCTTTTCACCAAGATGCATACAATGGTGCTAAATACTTATTTTTTTATTTATATAAAGCAGTTACAACTTGCACTTACATTCAGATTTATATTGTTTTAATTGCAAATTGAATATAAGAGGACAAATAAAAAGTACTCAAGGAGTATCCATACGAATTATTTAAAGTTGTATTGTATCATTTCCGGCATTTTCATCAAACTAGCTTTCATTGATCATTAACCAAAATGAACCAATTTCACCTCAATTTACCGACTTTTGATGCCACATGATTTCTGAATGACTAATGAGAGACAATTGACTGTAAGACCCAACGTCAAAGATTCATTGTTACGGAGAAATTTCGCTTCCCCCTAGGATCGAATAAGCGATCTCTGTATTACATATCCGATGCTTTCTTGATTGAGTTAAGAAGCGAACTTTTCCGAAATAAAGAACGATTTTAAACTTACAGAATATATATAATATTTACGGACATTCACATATTCATATAAGTATCGTTTGTTTTCGTTATTTGTCTTTAAGATACATTCATCACTGGATTTAAATTTCGTGCTTTGGGCGATAATTTATTCTCATAATCACTGCGGCTAAGCCTGATGTAATGTAATGTCAATGTGTGTTTTTGTACCATTTGCCGCCACATTAACATGTATAAAAGAGAAGGCAGCGCAGACAAATTATTTTACGCAGTTTCTGCATCAAAGAAACCATATAAAATCACGATTGTACATTATAATGTTTAAACAAGTAGACACACGCTGTAACAGGTTGTCACATATATGCCAAGGCTGTTGTACATTTTTTCTACTCCTTTTCTAGAGAAAATTGATTACTTCCTACAGGCTTTCTTCCTTTATAAAGGTTATGTTTGTTATTCAATTGCCAGTTATACTTCTTATAGCACTCAATATCGGATTATATCACAATCTAAATATTTACTTATTTGCATATTCATCTTTAACATATTGAATTGGTCTAGACATTTCATGGAAAGATAAAGAATTAAAACGAATCGGAGTTATTAATGGTATCATTGCATGGCATCCTTTATCAAAAATAATGTCCCAGATTTTTATGGATACACCATCTTATCTTTTTTAAATAAAGTTCACTTTAAAAAAAAACGAAATACAATTCAAATCATATTAATTTCAATATAATTGTGCCAAACTTTAACCCAACTTTGTCGTTTATTATGTTCTCAAACTCGGGGGAAATCAGTAAAAATGAAAGAATAACAGAACAAACACTTCGGTATGAATTATATTGGCGAGCTTTTAGTCCATTCGTTCAATGAAATGAGCAAGGACATACTTAATTTTCACAAAGATGATTCAATGTCTTTGAACTGGAGAATTATATCAGTATATACAAGCGTGGTTTTACGCACGCGTCAAATGGCTGCGAAGGAGTGGTCAGCTATGAACTGCATACCTTTAGAAGAGCCGAATAAAATGCTACCTAGACAAACAAGGGGGGTCATACCATTCGCGCGCATCCTCAAAATTTTGATACCGCGACCGTTATTTTGAACCGAGTCATGTACAGTGTAACGTTTATAGGCATACAAACCCTGTCGGTGAAAAGCTAGCTCACCACCGAGAGAGGTTTGTGTCCTTATATACGGGAAACATTCCCTTATGTTAATTCAACAACTTTAGAATTTGCATATATTCATGCTCATTATGACGTTCTACCAACGTCGTTACAAAAGCAATCAGAATATATTTGAATTTAATTTCTTTTGCAAAGAAGATGTCCTTACTTCTAGTTTTAGTATTCCAAATATCTTGACAAAAATCTTCCGTTTCTTGTCAGTATTTCGCGTTGAATGCCATTTTGATTCTGGATACCGCGTACTCCCGGCGTTGAAATGCTACAGAAATTGAGAAATTGTCGATTAAACTGAAAGTTTCACACAACTGGAAGTTAGCTTATTGTAGAACCTGTTTCATAAACATATTTTCAATCTTTATTATTTTTCCATTGACCGAAAAATGTCTTAAAACGAACTTTTTACATGAAATAGACATTATGATACTGCGTACACTATCAAAAAAATCAAGATACTGCGTACACATTCATAAATGTGTTATTGATTCTTCCTACACTTTCTTCGAAGCAGTCTAGTTCATAATGGGACACTGGCGAACAAAAATTAAAATAATAAAAAAGATAATTAAAATAAAAAATAAGATTCAAATCTTGTGATAAAGTATGTTCCCTTAAAATGTACATCCTATAAAAAGTTTTGAGTTAAATATTTTTCATTAAATTTGTTTTTTTTACTCATTTATGTAACACTATAAACTGATTTTTTTTTCGTTCACAGTATAACTAATTTTTTATAGTCCAATTTATAGCTCATTTAAGAAAATAAATGTATGCCGATTATATATCTCGCGAATTCTTCTCCAGGACGACACCGGCATGTGATCTTTGTATAGGCTGAGTATTATAACTTGACATATATTGAACTGTGCTATAATATAGCAGGGTATGGAGTAATACAATCACGAAGCTAACCACATATCGTGCTATATGTATAACACAGAGCAAACAAAATCAAAATGTTTTTCCATTTTAACAAGAAATATTATGGTTGGACAATATTTTTGGTAATTTAATTTGTTCTCACCTCAGTGTTGTTCTTTAAAGGCTTTTTTAGTCGGTTGATGCACATCAATTTGAGAGTAACAAATATTGGAAACATTGTTTGTGTTCTTATTTTATCTCTTTATATATTTTACAGAATATAAAGGCAACAGTGATATATTGTTTACGGTTTTTGCACGCGCTGTTTTGGCGCTGTATTGTGACGTCACGTAAACAACTTCTTCAACTTGTTTCCTAGTTTCTAAAAGTCAGGAAATTCATATATTACAGATTCAGATGTTTTTGACAGTTCAATGGAACAGCCCTTACACCCAATTGCGAAACAGTTTCATTTTAATAAGTTTATCCTGGTTCAATGATATTAAATCTCGGTAAACTGTATACGGAGATAAGGAAACATTGTCTTCCCATTTGAAGAAAATGTAAATAAAAATGTTATATAGATGTTATATATAGAGCTATATCTTATCCATAAGTTCCTTTTGTCTATATCATGTAAATAAATATATTACGATAACAGTAAACAGTATATAATTAATAGCAACCCGGTTTCCACTTGACTAATCCCTCTCGAATGAAATAA